CGCTCTCCCCTCGCGTTCCCTTCGCCGCCGCAGAAACTTGTCCTGACTCGACGGCTTTTTTCATACGGAACAGGGCTGCTTTTCTACCCATCACGCGTGTGCTTACACACCTTCAGCGGCCCGCCACCTCAACTTGTTTACTGGGGGGACGGATGCCCCTCTCTTCCCCCTCCCCCGAATATTTCAGTGTTAAGGGCGGTGCGAAACACAACCGCGCGCCGGAGCCGGACCCGGAGCCGTCTCCTCTCCCATGTGTCCCCCTTCCCGCGCTGTCAATAAGTTCTCATTCCCTTCCCGGTGCGTGTTCAAATCGCTGCGAGGGGGGGTGGTCGTGCTCAACCCGCTCGGAGCCGAATTACCTCTGACCCGCGGGGAGGGGCGGCCCCTCTCTGTCCTCAGTGTCGTCCTGTGCGACCGCCCCGGTGGGCGAAGGTAGTCTTGGTTTCCTTCTCCCCTCCCCGGTGTTTCCCGTTCGGATAATGCACTCGGTATGCCCAGCTGGAAGCGGTTTTCCCGGTCACGTGAGGGTGACGGGAAGAGCCGAGCGTGCTACCTGCTGTAGCTGCGTCGGGCGCAGGCCCCTGCGCCGGTGTGGGTGTTGTCACGGGCCGTGGGCACAGGTGACGTCCGTGAGCTGTAACGGCATGATGTATCTTTACCAATGATGTCAGACTTCACACTAAATGGTTAAAAAAAAAAAAAAAGTTACCTGAACTTTTGTTTATTCTGCACCAACAGGTCTTCAGACTTTATCCAAATTTTATTATTTTATCAGGAAAAAAAGAAAGCATAAATTTGTGTAGATACGTTAAGACAGACAATAAGTGATGTAAATTGTTGAATAAAAATTTTAAAGTTTGTGGGTGTCAGCGTGACTTTCTTTTTCGCCCCCTCGGGGGAGCGTCGGCGGCCCCGGGGAACCTCGCTCTTCTTTCCCTGGCAGCGCCGCCTCCGAGCGGCAACGGGACGCGTGGCTCGGGCGCGGGGAGGGGACCCCGCTGCTGGAGGATAAGACAGACAATAAGTGATGTAAATTGTTGAATAAAAATTTTAAAGTTTGTGGGTGTCAGCGTGACTTTCTTTTTCGCCCCCTCGGGGGAGCGTCGGCGGCCCCGGGGAACCTCGCTCTTCTTTCCCTGGCAGCGCCGCCTCCGAGCGGCAACGGGACGCGTGGCTCGGGCGCGGGGAGGGGACCCCGCTGCTGGAGGAGCGGGGTGACCCAGGGGTTGGCAGCGGTGTTTTGTGGGCCCGAGGAGGGGTGAACCTGCCTGGCTGTGGAGCCCCCTTGGGCTGCCGAAACGGGGCGGGGAGGAGCCTGCTCCCCGCTGCCGGGACGGGGGGCGCGCGACGGCGGTGCGGAACACAAGAGCGAACGCCCTCCGAGCTGGTTTATCTTTTTATTTCAGTCACGTTTAGTGGCGGGTGTGGCGGTTGGTACCGTTGGGGAGTGTTGTTCCGTAAGCAGCTGCAGTACGAGAAGGGGGATGGTTATTTTCGGGAGGGGAGTATTAGCACCAAAAGGGAGCCGGTGAGCTTTGGAAACCTTGCCAAGGTGTACTGGGAGTTGGGGAGCTACTGCTGGACACGCCGGATGGATTGGATCTGGGAGGTCTGGGCGTGCGATCCCCACTCTCTCCAGTGCTTGTAGTCTCCTCCGTGGTGGTCGGCCTCCAGGACGTACTGGTAGCCGCGGTACCCGGGATACTGGTAGCAAACCCAACTGGAAGAAAAGGATCCGTCAGGGTGACGAGGTAAGCGAGGGGCGCACGGGGGTCTTCCCCCGGCCAGCAGCGCGAGCGCAGCGCCGGCAGCGCTTTGTCTTTCCCCTCACTTACGCGCCGCACTGGATCTTCATGGAGCCCACTTCGTTGTTGGCCCAGCCCATGGCCTGCAGTGAGGGGTAGTCGTCACCGATCTCCCACTGCCGGCCGATGAAGTTGTCTTTCTCGAAGAGGGTGATCTTGGATTCCTTGTGATTCTGGGAAGAGGGGAAGCAGGGGGTGAGGCGGTGCTCCCTCCCCGGCGTGGATGTCCCTCCCTATGGCATTGGGCATGGCGGGGGGGGGAAGTAGCTGAGCCCACCCCAAGGAGCCGCCCGCAGAGCCCCTGGCATGGCTGTGTTGGCCCTCCTTAACCTCACTCCCTTGTTCTGCTGCTATTTCCTGGGATATTTTAACGGGATCAGCTCCGTGGGACACTCACAGCGGAGCAGACGGGGCGGAAGGACATCAGGCGCTCGATGTGGTAGGCGTTGCTGCCGCTCCAGGCGTCCCAGCGCGGGTACTCTCCCCTCTCCAGGATGAACTGCTGCCCGCAGAAGCCGGTGTGCTCGTAACCGACCCAGCTGCGAAAACAGAGCGAGGGCTGCCGGGGCTTCGCCACCCGGGCAGTGATGTGCGAGCGGGGAGGAGGCTGGGGAGCTGGCCTCTGCCCGCGTGTCCGGGAGGGAAGGAAGCGATGCTGGATGTGGGCAGAGCACCTCACCGTGCCTGGTGCCTGGGGAGGCTGCCGGTGAGGCATTCCCTGGCTGTGGTGGGCTTCCTCCCTCGAGGGCAGCTCGCTCTCCCCTAACGCTCTGTGGTTATTGATGTCAGGATGCCAGAGGACACCCCTGACTGCCCTTCTCCCCCCAAAAGGCCTCATTTCTTACTTGTTTCCCAATTAACAACCTGGCACAGCTGGAAAAACCTGAATTCCTAATGCCCAAACCATCCAGAACCCACCCAATAGCAGGGAGCTGTTGTCTTTCACCTTTCCGGATCCCCCTCTTTGCTGGAAACAAACACGGAGAGGTGAGGGATGCCTCTGCCCCGCAGGGGGGTCTGTGCCCCGGGCCGGGGGTCACATCCCCTTACAGGGACTGGGAACAGGCTGGCTGAAGCCAAGCGGGGCTGGAAACAGGATGGCACGGGCTGGGCAGCCCCTGCTTATGGGGTACGCGGGGTGCTGAGGGGCACGCTGAGCTGTGGGGAGGTCGAGGACCTCGTGCCACTAACCCAAATTGAGCCCCAATCCCGTATCCTGCAGTCAGCTCACCCCAACTCCATGTGAGATGACCAG